AAAAAAAAAAAAAAAAAAAAAAACCCAAGAATGCACTCTCGAAAAAAAGTGAGAAACTAAACTAATGCATACTAGCAACAGTAATGCATACCTCAGTCAAATCAATACAGTCAACAGCCTTCACGATTCTGCGCGCACCTTTCATTTTCTCATCTGCTGTCTCTTTGATTCCTCTCCATATCAACATAGGATCCCAGATGGTCATTGCTGAAGCATCAAAGACCTCCTTAACAATAACAGGCTTCCCTCTGCTCCAATGTGTTCTAAAGTTTTTAATCCCTTCATTTCTCAGGTCTTCTGAGAGTGGGCAGTACAGGAAGTTGTCGCAATCATTCTCTCTGAATGCAGCCTTCAAAAGCTTTATACTTCCTCTACTTTGTTCAGGATAAACAGAACTATCTACCTTACAGCCATTGACCATTTCTTCAACATTTTTCACGAGTTTAGCAACCCAATTCATCTTGAAGATACGCCTAAGAGTTAAAAAAGAGGACCCACAGCCTCCATAGGCATTGGGCGGACATAGAATACTTCCATCACTGTAAGCTTTCCAGTCAACAAAACTTTTAAAATAATTCAGCTGAACATCTAATAGCTTCACGCGCTCGGTTGCAATGCCCTTGTTTTTTACGTCAGTTCCAACAGCGATATGATTGATCTCTTCCTTTGCAGAAGGCTTTGATGCTTCCCTAACATCTTTGCAGCAATTAAGGCACAGATCATACGAACAATTTGTGCAATGCCGGTGATAATCAATGATGGGTATCCTGCAGAAATTACTGCAAAGCAGGACAGCAAAAACCCCGTTAATCCCCCTTTTCTACTTAAGAGGTATAAAATAGACTTGAATCCAAAAGGATATGAAAATGAGAAACATCCACTCAATGATGCATAATTGCATCGATATTGCCAATTACTTAGAAAGCAAAAGTTGCAAATTAACAAATAAATATAGTAGAATTCTTTTTTATGCAAAACTATGAGAGAGATAGAAAGAGGATGTGAATCTGGGTCAACTCACCAGCACATCTGCTCATCAGCATTTAACTTCGTCCTGGCGAGGTCTATATCATTTCCTAGAAAAATTAGTTAACACATATTCCGTCATGCAATACATCAATCACAGTGACATTACTTACAACATGCTACTGAAGCATTAGTCATCATACCTCGGAGCCTCTTCTCCAGCTCCACCTCATAGCACTGCTCAGAATGGATTTGTTTCACAATAGGGAGCACAGCAGATAAAAGAGAGTACAGGTACTGCAACTTGTCTTTGGCAGGTATTTCTCGAATCCTCGCCTTGAAGATAAAGATTACAAAGATTCCATCAATCAAAAGAATCATATTTTCTGAAAACATGAAAAAGGAAAGCAGAGGACATTGCCCAAAAAAAAAAAAAACACTACTGAGATTTAGACAGTAGGAAAGAGGATGAGTAGTACCTTAATCAGATTATCACCCCGCATACAAACCCTGCAACTACAAGTACCACGGCATGCAGGGCAAACCCTCTGGATTTCGTCTACAGGGATGTCAGAATACCTAAGAAATGATGCACCAAAATTTGTGAGTTCAGGAACTGGATGTAAAAAATGAAGTGCCTATGTTAGCATTTTATCTCACCATGTCGAGATGCAGTTCTCACAATACCCTCTTCTTTCACATTTGAGGCACCAAATCACACCATCTTTCACGTTTCCCCGACATTGATGACAAGGCTGACCCATATTATCATCAGAAGAGTCTGAGCTTCCATCAGAAGTCTCCTAAAATTTAAAAATTAAAAAAATAAATTGAAGACTCAAAAAATTATGTGAACAGGCAAGGTAGGAGGGAATTTGGACACTGTAATACAGCCATGTTGGGCACAACTACTCACCGTCGTAGGACTAATCTCTAACATCTTCTGAGATCTGCTTCTGTCTGAATCCGCCGCTGACGAGGGCGTTCTATGAGATCTCCTGCTGTCCTCATATTCAGACCCATCTCTATCGAGGTCATCAGTTGACCTTAGAGAACTTCGGCCGGAGAAAGTCCTTGCAGCCGGGGTTTCAGGCGAATAATCAGCCTGGGATTTCGACAACTTCGCCTTCTTCTTCTTCAAAGTGGATCCAGAATAATCGCCAAACTGCGAAATGAGCGGCACATCCATATCATCGCTCTTGCTTTCCAGATAGATATCACTTTCGCCTAAAGGTTTCCTCTTGGCCTTCTTCATGCTCGCCCGCATGGCTGAATTTGCCGCCCTCTTCTTGGCCTGGATATAATGCTTTTCACATACCGTCTTGTCTGGCATGGACATGGCCGTGCATCTCCACTGCTTCCCGTCCGACCTCTTACACCTCAGATCATCAGGAATTCCCAAATTGTCCTCACCACCCCCAACCGACCTTGGATGATCCATTTATAAACTGTCCTGGTAGCAAAACCATATAAAATGGACTGACTACACACAACAACAAGAGCAAATGAGAACATCCGCAGGTTCATTTTTCACAATTCACCAAACCCCTGAGAAATTCAAAACCCCCAAAACCCTAATTTGAATAAACAAACAAAAGCCACCTACAATTCGAATCAGCACAAGCAGTAAACTACCCCCACTGAAACAAAAGCCCAAATGAGAATACACTAACAGGCGCATACATCTTATTAACATCAAACACGTATAAGAAAAAAGTACTGAACATAATTGAGCACGCAGAGATTCTTCTAAAAGAAAAATAAATTCAATTCGAGTCTCCTTGAGAGAGAGAGTGAGAGAGAGAGATGCAGAGTGTACCTTGAGAGCGTGGATGATCTGAATTTCTCCGTATTTTCGAGCTGCAAATTGGGGTTTTCAATCCCTCTCTTTGTCTGTAATTTTTCGAGGTTGAAAACTGAAGCGAAAAAATTAGCAGAGAACAGCCACGGGTTGCGCAGGGTGGACTGTAGGAGGAGAATCCAAACGACGTCGTTTCTGCTCGCATTTTTTTTTGCTGTGTTTTTTACTCTCTTTTAACTTTTCCAGTTTACCCGTGAGGCTTTCTGGTTCAGGATTTATCATTGAGGATAAAATTGGATATATGCAATTATGCACACAGTACAAGTAATTAATTAGTTAAATAACTTGTTACCAATGAATTAATATTTTTTGTTCGGAATTATTTACACAGTTTTGCTATAAAGTCAACAGTTGGCTCTACAATTGAGCCAATCTTCTATATACGATAAATAAACCTACTATATTAATAAAATTATATTAATATTATTTAAGTAATCAGATAATATGATAAGTTTACAAGAATGTCTAGCGTAAAAATTTAAGTTATATGTTTTGTAAATTATTTAATAAAGTAAAATTATTAACTCAAATTCAAAATATAAACTTTTGCTCAACTGATAGCAAGAGTCAATCATCATCTTTGGATAATATTTGATGTGATTCAACATTCTTTCAAAATATTTATCCTTCCACAAATTAAAATATATATATTATTCATTTATTTTATGTTTTAAAATTTCTAATGCAATGTTTAAACTAGAAATCAACCATTTCACAAATTTATTAAAAAATATTAATATTTAATCATTTGTATACTTATAACTACAAATGGTTATTTTACTTTTTTCCTAGTAAATTACATTAATTAAAATTTTCATATCAAAATTATTTTACATTATTAATATTATTACATAAAAATAATAACTTATTCCACTAATCAATCTTTAACAAACCAAAAATTATCATTAAAATATACGGATATTTACATAATGACGTCACCAACCATCTTACCCATCGTAACGCCCAATGTGATTCAATATATATTTAAATACTGTAATTTATAATTTTTTTTGTAGGTTAATTTTGAGATCTCGATTGACTCGGACCATAATTGATTCTAATCGACCTTGAATTGTGCATTGCACGAATAGTAATACATTTTTTAGCTAATGAAAACTTTATCTCAAGATAAACACTTTAAGACCAGACTCGATTTCGACTCAACTCATTTACATTTTTATAGAACAATAATACATTTTGAAGCTAATAAAAAACTTTATCACATAATACACACTTTAAGACCCGACTCCAGGGGTGGAATTACACTTGGTACAGCCTGGGCAACTGCGCAGACTGAATTTTTGTTGCTAATATATGTAGTTATAATTCCAAATAAATATTTAAGAAGAAAAGACAAAATTTGAGAACTTACGAGACATAACAATTAAAAACAATTTCAAGCTTTTTTAATAGTCTATATAAAATGATGCCGAGCATTATCTCTATGTTCTCTTAATTAAATTTATTGAAATGATAATCGAGGATGAGAATATTGTTGATCAAAGAGGACAATGTAATTTGTTGCTTGTGCAGATATAACCCTTTGATTTCATATTTTGTCTTCTTGTAATGAGACAAATTTTACACTAACTAATGAGTTATTAGTAGAATTATAAAAGGATGATCAAGATATTGTCAATGTTATGGATTTGGTCAGGACAAGTAAGACCTTGCTAGTTTATAAAACTAGAAAAAAAAAAAATTTTGTTTAACTAGAGCTTATTAGAAACGGTTAATATGATTAGTTGTGTGTGGAAATTTAAAAATTTATTAAAATAATATTTGAGAAGAATAATTAAAACTGATTGATGTAAAAGTAGGATATATATGATTGGAAAATGATAGGTAGTTAAAATTGTGTGAGTGATTAGTAGTGAATTAATGTAATGTGTAAGAATAGTTGAATGATATTATTTAGTTATATTAATAATTTTGAAGATGATGGATTTGAGTTAAAGTCGAGTTAGATTTAGAATTGAGATATACTTTTTTTTTCTAGAAATTTGATAAACAATCAAAACCGAAACAACTCCAAAAAATGAGAGAAGAAGAATGTGAATGGAAAAATTTCTTGTAATAAGCATGGTATAAAAAAATTCGAGCACTTTTTTATTTTATATTGCCCTGGCTGATAAAAATTTATGCATCCGCCACTGCCCGACTCGACTTGACTCGTTTACATTTCTTACATAACGTGATTATGTGTAGTTATTAAATAAACCATTTGCATATTATACTGTGAATATTTTGTTCTATAATGATTATTATGACCCACTCTTCAGTTTGATATTAGCTATCATTATTCATTTTACTGAATTTGACGATAATATCATTTAGTTTCATTGGACGATATGTGCTTACTGAACATTAGTTGTTTACTATATAATGCCTTGTTACAAACTAAGCAAAATATCGATATTAATAAAGCAAAAGACCCAAAGTGATCAAGCAGACAAGCACAGTTATCTACAGAACACAGCTAAATAACACTCTGTCACCATTATAAATTTTCCTATAATTACACTACTAACGTATCAAATTAAATAAAGTAAAATATCCAAAAAAAGTAAATTGAAAACTGCATAAAAATCAACTATCTTCACAATATAAATGCAAACTCGTGTAGTCATGTTAATAATTCCCCTCATCACTCAACGTAGAGAAAATTATAAAAGANNAAAAAAAAAAAAAAAAAAAAAACTGTTACAGTAAAAAATAAATAAATAAATAAATAAATCATTTTTCAGATGGGCAGTTGCATTAGCACCAACGCTAGGCCATCTCACAGAACACCAGGAAAGCGTGACGGCCAATGCCCGACAGCCACGTGTCCGATCCCAGAGGTGGCCGCGGCCCAAAGACCCGCCGCAGGTGAGAAGTGCCGACCGAACGGCGCCGTATACCAGAGACCCTTCGTGACGTCATGCGATCGAAGCAGGCTCTCGGGAGCTCCGAACCCGACGGCGGACAGGAGATCTCAGGCGGGTCACGGGAACCGGGCTTTTTCCGGGGAGTTGAGGGGAGGAAAGTGTGGCAAGGCAGACAGAAGATCGCCGGGGCGGGTAACAGGGTCGAATTCGTGGCGGATTGAACCCGGAGCCGGCCACATGTGGAGGATGAGTGGGTTGGACGGGTTGAGTGGTCGGGTCGAGTCGGGCGGAATGACTCGGAAACCGGAGGGCGGGAAAGGAGGAATGACGTGGCAACCGACGAGCTCTGAGTTGCTTGAAAATGCTTCACACGTGGCATTTGAATGTTATATTTTCCTCTAATCTGGAATTTAATTAATTAAGTACGATAAAAAGGTTCTGTGGGGGATATTTTCGCCGGCATAAGAAATTTTATTTAGGGGAGCGGCTTTCGTTTTTCTATTTTTGAAGAATTATGTTTTCCAGTTTAGTGTGTTCGATTAATTCAATCGAACCGAAAACAGATATTATCTTTTGGTTTGAAATTTCATTACAGCTAAATCAAAATTTCGGTAAACCGAATTTTAAGAGTGTGATTGGATATAAATTCGATTGGTTTTGATTATTTTTTTTAATCATACTTAATTTTGAAAAAGATAGTATGATTAGTTGTAAGTGAGAATTTAATTTTAAATTAAAATAATATTTAAATAAAATAATTAAAGTTGATTTGATATAAAGTAGAAGAAAATTGATTGAAAATAGTGGTCAGTCAAAATTATACGAGTTAATAAAGAGTAAATTAAAGTTGATGTGATGTGTATGAATGATCGATTGATATTGTTTAATTAAATTGATGATATTGAGGATAATGGAATTAAGTTAAAATTGAATTAAATTTAAATTTGATTGGTTTTTTATTGATCAAGTTTATATCCTATCAATTTTAATTTTCAAAGATTAAGCACCCCTGCTCTTATTTACCATTTGAGGACATTTTTTTGTGCATTTGCAACTCAATATTTGGTATTCACAAATCATCCATACCCATAACTAGTTTATCTTAATGGAGCACCAATTTAATTTAATATAAAATCACTATTATAAGCTCAATTCAAATATATATTAAGGTCTACAGTCATAAATATCCGGAAAAAAAAATAAAAAATTAACCATACTTGAAATGAAAACCCGATGAAAATGCACACAAGAAAACGGCTAATCAAGACAGTTGCACAATTTGTCTCATTTATAACTTACAAGTGACGATTAACCTATTTTTCTCCGAACCTATGTGAATTGTTCTACAGCCAAAAA